TCTGACTAAAATCTGAAAATTTTTCGAAAAATATTTAAGAAATATATGTGTGTCCTTTGAATAATGTCCTTGGTAAAAAATATTCTGAAATGCATCTGTAGATCCTTGATGGTCTTGCGAAAAACATTTTAAAAATATAAGGACCTACAAAGCCTTTGATACAATCATTTCCTATGCTTCGGATGCAAGTCAAGAAAATGCTTGATATCAGGTACTGACCCCAAATAAAAATTCTTCCAACCCTGGACGAAAAATGTTTTCGAATACTGGAAAAATAATTTTAAAAAATTTGTAGGTCCTTTAAAAAGGACTTGTAGATCTTTTGAAAAAATCTTCTGACTAAAATCCCATAATAATTCAAAAAATAGTTATAAAAAAAAATTAAAGAAAAAATGATTAAAGATCTTTGGAAAAAAATCTTCTGACTAAAATCCCAAAATAATTCGAAAAATATTTAAGAAAAAATGTAAACGTCCTTTGAAAAATGTCCTTGAAAAATATTCTGAAAATTAATCTGTATATCCTTGATGGTTCTGGAGGTCTTGCGAAAACTTATTTAACGACCTACAATGCATTTGATGCATTGTACACATGGACGCATGTCAAGAAAATTCTCCCTATCAGGTACTGACCAGAGATAAAAATCTACCGACCCTCGACGAGACTAAAATCCCAAAATAATTCGAAAAATAATTAAAAAAAATTTGGACGTCTTTTGAAAAATGTTCTTGGTAAAAAATATTCTGAAAATGCGTCTGTATATTCTTGATGGTTCCGGAGGTCCTATGAAAAAATATTTTACAAATATAAAGACCTACAATCATCAATCATCAATGATACAATCATCCCCTATGCTTCGGATACAAGGCAAGAAAATTCTCGATATCTGGTACTGGCCCTAGGTAAAAATCTTGCAACCCTGGGCGAAGAATGTTCTCGAATACTGGAAAAACATCTATTTTAAAATATATATTTAAAAAATTTGTAGGTCCTTTAAAAAAAATTGTAGATCTTTGGAAAAAGATATTCTGAATAAAATCTGAAAATTATTCGAAAAATATTTAAGAAAAAATATAAACGTTCTTTGGAAAATATTCTGAAAATGCATCTGTAGATCCTTAATAGCCCTGCGAAAAATATTTTTAAAATATAAGGGCCTACAAAGATAAAAATGTTTCAACCCTGGGCGGAGAATGTTCTCGAATACTGAAAAAAATATATTTAAAAAGGACTTGTAGATCTTTGGAAAACATCTTCTGACTTAAATCCGAAGAATAATTTAAAAAAAGATGAACGTCCCTTAACAAATGTCCTTGGAGATCCCGCGAAAAAATATCGTTCTCCACTCATAAACAAACGTTGTTTTTATAAAAACAACAATAATGGGATTTTGCCTGACGATTTTGCAACAACGAAAAAATATTTTAAAAATATAAAGACCTACAAAGCGTATGAATAAATCATCCCTACATCATCGGATAAAAATCTTCCGACCCTGGGCGAAAAATGTTCTCAAATACTAGACTGATTGAAATCATGGTCTTAAGTTCTTGGAGCTAAAGATAAAATCTATGGGTCCCAATACTGAAATTTTCCAAAAGTTCCGAAGACAAGACTAAAATATGTTGGTCCTAAGGCTTTAATGTCCGGACACCAAAACGTATGGGATGTAAAGTTACAAAATATGACGATGGTAACAAAAATAATAATAAATAAAGCTAATGCGAATGCTACTCACTCTGCCAATCAATTCCAAATGTCCTGAAATGAATTTCGTCCAGAAAAACAATTTTCAATTAGGGTCACTGGTCAGAAATAAAAAAATATTGGGTCCTAGTTTTAAAATAGTTCGGAATTCGGGATTTCTCTACTCAGAGCTGAAATATTCACAATCAAAGGATTAAAATCTTTTACTCATTGCAGACATGAAATTTCGGGGACAATGCTTTCGAAAATGTACTGAAAAATTCTCCAAAATCAAGGATTTGAAACTATAGGTTCTTTGAAAATAGTTACTTAAAAAAATCTGCCCTGATTGACTAAATAAAAATAAAAAACACTCAAAGATCCAAAAAAATCAATTTTGGGTCCAGGCAGACTTTTCAAAATATATTCCGAATAATCACCATAATAGACGTTAAGATCCCTTAACAAATGCATGTTGAAAGTCTTTTGAAAACTACTATTGAAAATATAACTTTTGTGATAAATATTCCTAATAAATCCTTTTTGGAAAAAAATCTCGAATAATCAAGGATTCGAAACATAAAGTATGAACTTAAATTACTCTTCCAGAAAATATATACTTGAAAAAATTGGGATATTTGGCTACATCTGGATAAAAAAAAACTCAAATATCCGAAAAAATATTTTTTGTGAAAGCCTTTCAGAAGTCCTTAGATAAATATTGTTAAAAAACGTTGGTTCTATAAAACAAAAGTCCTTTGAAAAATATTGTAAAAAAAATTGTATGGGACTAGGTCCCCAGAATGAACATTCTTAAAAAAATCTATTTGTCCTTTTCAAATATTCCTTAAAATATCCAAAAGTCCTTTCACATTTTTTTTTTTTTGTTCTGAGAAAAGTCCCTTAAAAACTATTCTTAAAAAATCCGCTTTTACAAAGCTATATGTTCTTTGTTAAAAATTCCAAAATCCTTTAAAAAGTAGATTAAAAATTCTAGAGTTTGAGGTAGTTTGAAAATTTTTGAAAAAAGTATTTAAAAAAAATTCAAGTAACCTAGGTTGATTTTTTTTTTAGGTTGATTTTTTTTTTCCTAAAATATCCTCGTTTATGGGTCTGGAAGTCCTTTGAAAGAGCATTATTAAAAATCTTTTCAAAATATTCGAAAAAATGTCTAAAGATTTTGAGTGCGAATGTCCTGAAAAATATTCATAAAGAAATAAATGCCTTAGAGGACCAGCGTTTGGAGGACCTTTAAAATAATATTTTGAAAATAATATATGAAGGTCCTTCGACAAATATTCCTAAACTTACCCTTGAAAAATATTCTTAAAAAATCTGAAGGTCCCTTGACAAAATTTTTCTCAAAAAAATCCATGTTAATGGGTCGTGGAGGTCTTGAGAAAAATTTTCTGAAATATTATTCGAAATACACTTTGATGGTACCTAGGGTCCTTTAACACTTTTATTTTTATTAAAAGTCTCTTATACCGAATATTAAAAAAAGGTCCTTTGAAAAATAATTCCTACAAAACCAAGCCGATAGGGCTGGAATTCCTACACCTGAATATTTTCCTTGAAGGTCCCTCAAAAAATATCCTTAAATGGTCTTGTGGACCTTTGAAAAATATTCTTAAAATTGCCAGATTGATGGCTCCTTTGGGAAATATTTCTTTGAAAGTATTCATTAAAAAAATTTTACTAAAAAATCCTTATTGATGGGGCTGAAGGGAAAATTATTCTTAACAAATGAATGACTTTAAGAACCATTCTTAGAAAATCTTCGTTGAATTTAAAGAGCCTTTGAAGGAATATTCTTAAAATATCATAAGATCCTTCGAAAATTATTCTTAAAAAAATCTGAAAGTCACTTGGCAAATTTTTGATAAAAAGCCCACCTGTCCTGAGAAAAATTTGTTTGACAAAATTCCATGGTCCTTCGAAAAATATAAAAATCCGAAAGTCCTTTGATTAAAAAATTCATGTTAATGGTACCTGAGGTGGGGGCTAGTGGGTTCTAAAATTAAAATTATTAAAATCATCATTGGAACATAATTCCTGCAAATCCAAGCCGATAGGGCTAGAAGTGTTCTGAAAAAATATTCCTAAAACACTTGATACCCTTCAACATTCACGATTATTGATGTAAGGATCTTTGATTTTTTTTAACAAAAAAATTCTCAACGTCAGAATGGTTAGAAAACCAACGAGAAAAAACATAGAATTCCTTTGAAAAATATTTTAAAAAAGTCCAGGCCATCAAGGCAGTGGAAGTCCTTTAAAAACGATTTTAAAAAAATTCTGAATGTCTTTTTCTCTTATTGTTTTTTGCCAAAAAAAAAAACAAAATATCTACGTTATCCCAAAATAAAATGCCAGTACGGCTCTAACTCTGAATGTCCTTAAAAAAGATTCCTGAGAAAAAATAAAAATCCTGGAAATTTTTAAAAAAAACGAACAAGAGTTACATGGATATGACTACCTAGGAAACCCTTTCAACATTTATTTTCTTGCCTTTCGAAAATGTCTAGCTAGAGGCCAGTAAAAATAACCCCAAAAGGCTCCCAGGATATGCAACAAAATTTATGTCCTGTAACAATAGCCAATAAAGGATAAAAGTTGATTGCCATCCGACCACACCCAATTTTTTATTTATTTTTTAATTTTTTTTTTTTCTTAATTTAATTAATGACTGCTTTTATTAAATATTTACTCACGTTGTGTGTACATATTATCATAAATTGCATTAAAAATAATAAATTATAAAAATAATTACAAAAAACCGTACCCATATTTATTTAATCCAAAAAAAAAAAACAGAGGATATAAAATTTAATTAAAATGACAATGGACCAACAAAAAATACCTCCGGATATAAATTGCATTTATTTTTATTTAAATAAATATTTACGAGAGCAGACGAAAAAAAAATTTTATAATATTATAATGGTTTTTATGGTTACACCAAAAAAAAAATATATATATATAAATAATTAAATAATATAGAGAATTATTTTCTGCTTCGATGGATTTTCGTGGGCAACCAAAAAAAAAAAAAAAAAATAAAAACAATTATTTATTCAAGTGGAAAAAATTGCAAAATGTAATGGTGGGGGTGGTGGTGTGTGGCTGTGTGAAAAAACCGCAAAACAAATGTATATGAACTTGTATAACAAATTTTCAATCGAAAAAAAAATATTTGAAAAAAAACTTATTTCAGCCATCAGGCCACCACCAACTAATGAAATGAAATATTTATGGACAAAAATTGCATAATAAATGTTTTGTGTGATAAAAATCTGTTTGGTGGTTGAGTTATGCCCGGCAACACACAGACAATACCCACCACTGCCATTTTGGAAATTCCCACCGCCATCATAACGGTAAATTCAAATCAAAGTCCCGATAGTGCAATAAAATAATATAATACTAACGGCTATGATAAAAAATAAAACCACAACAAATCCCAGAGAGGAAGAGAGAGAGAGAGAGGGAGGTGGGTTATTATTTCCAATAATAATTCTTTGCATTTCAGATATTTCCACTCAGCCCCATTGTCCACCTTTTCAGCTAGGCATTGCATTTTATATCCCAACCTCAATTTATTTGTTGTTTTTTTTTTTTTTTTTTTTTTTTTTTCAAAATTTAAAGCACATCCCGTGGGCTTGGGTATTAGTCAAATGCATGAAGCATACACTTAGGCGTTTGTGTCATAAACAGCAAACAAAACACAGAGCTAGCCGCAGCTAGCTGACCGCAAAAAAATTTAACGAAAGCAAAAAAAACACAGACAAAGGATTTTTTCAAATGCCTTTTCGAAGGGACTAAAAAAATATTTAGAAAAAATCCTTTAAAAAATCCAAGTTGGTCCTTCGAAAAATTTTCTCAAAAAAATCCAAGCTGGTCCTTTAGAAATTTTTCTTTAAAAATCCTCGTAGGTATTTTACTTTTTTATAATCCCTGTTGGTCCTTAGTTATTTTTCTTTAACAAAAATTCTTTAAAATTCGATTTTTGTTCTTTGTAATTTTTTTTTAAATTTCCTTAAATCTATTTTTGTCTTTTGAAAATTTTTCTTTCAAAACATTAATTTAAAAATCCATTTTGGTCTTTTAAAAATTCTTATTTAAATCCACGTTGATCCTTTAAAAATTTTTATACGTTGATCCTTTGACATTTTTTCTTTAAATCCACGTTGATCCTTTGAAAATTTTTTCTTTTAAAAATCCAGGTTAGTCCCTTGAAATTTTTTGTTGAAAAAAATCCACGTTGATCCTTTAATAATTTTTTCGTTAAAAAATCCAGGAGTCCTTTGAAAATTTTTCTTAAAAAAATCCACGTTGATCCTTGAAAAAATCCACGTTGGTCCTTTGAAAAAATTTCCTTGAAAATTTTTCTTGAAAAAAATCCACGTTGGTCCTTTGCAAAAAATTTCCTGAAAAAAATCCATGTTGGTCCTTTGAAAAAACTTCCTTGATATTTTTTCTTGAAAAAAAAAATCCACATTGGTCCTTTGAAAAAATTTCCTTGAAAATTTTTCTTGAAAAAAAATCCACGTTGGTCCTTTGAAAAAAATTTCCTGAAAAAAATCCATGTTGGTCCTTTGAAATGTTTTTGAAAATTTTTTCTTTAAAAAGTCCTCTGAAAATGTTTTCTTTAAAAAATCCACATTGGTTCTTTGAAAATATTTTCTTTAAAAAATCCATTTGGTCCTTTAAAAACCTGTTTCAAAAATCCACGTTGGTCCTTTGAAAAAAAAACTGTTTAAAAAATCAACCTTGGTATTTTGAAAAATTTATTTAAAAAATCCACGTTGGTCCTTTGAAATATTTTCCTTAAAAAATCAATTTTTAAAAAAAAAATCGACGTTGGTCCTTTGAAATATTTTCTTTAATATTTCCATTTAAAAAAAATCCACGTTGGTCTTTTGAAATATTTTCTTTAAAAATTCCATTTTTTTTAAAAAATTCACGTTGGCCCATTGAAATATTTTCTTTGACTCGCTCGATGGTGCTTTGAAAAAATTTCTTCCACTGATTTTTTTCCTTGATTTTTTTTTTAAATCAATTTTTTCTTTAAAAATACACGTTGACCCTTTAAAATTTTTCGTTAAAAGACCTTTGGTTGGTCGTTTGAAATATTTTCTTTAAAAATTCCATTTTTTTTTAAATCCACTTTGGTAGTTTAAAATAATTTCTTTGAAAATTCCATTTTTTAAAAAAATTCACATTGCTCCTTTAAAATATATTCGTTAAAAATTCCATTTTTTCAAAAAATCCACGTTGAACCTTTAAAACATTTTCTTTAAAAATTCCATTTTTTAAAAAAATAATCCACGTTGGTCCTTTGCAATATTTTCTTTCAAATTCAATTTTTTAAAAAAATCCACGTTAAAAAATTTACGTTGGTCATTTGCAATATTTTCTTTAAAAAAAACAATTCATTAAAAAATTCACGTTAAAAATTCATTTTTTTTATAACCAAGTTAGTCCTTTGAAATAATTTCTTTAAAAATTCCATTTTTTAAAAATCGACGTTGGTCCTTTGAAATACTTTCTTTAAAAATTCCATTTTTAAAAATCGACGTTGGTCCTTTGAAATACTTTCTTTAAAAATTCCACATTGGTCCTTTAAAATATTTTCTTTAAAATTCCATTTTTTTAATCCACGTTGGTCCTTCGCAATATTTTTTTAAATTCAATTTTTTAAAAAAATCCAACTTAAAAAATCTACGTTGGTCCTTTGAAATATTTTCTTTAAAAATTCCATAAAAAAAAAAATCCAGGATGGTCCTTTAAATTGTTTTCTGTAAAAAATCCATTTTTTTAATTCACGTTGGCGCTTTGAAATATTTTTCTTAATCCACGGTGGTCCTTTGAAAAAAATTCTTCCTTTGATTTTTTTTCTTTGATAATTCTTTTTCAAAAAATCTCCTTTGGTCCTTTAAAATTTTTTCTTTAAAATATACACCTTGCTCCTTTGAAAATTTTTCTTAAAAAAATCCACGTTGGCCCTTTAAAAAATATGTCCTATAAAAATTTTGGAACAACAATTTTGAAAAATTTTAATAGAACAATTCACGTTAATCCTTTAAAAAAATTGATAGAACAATTCACGTAAGCCCTTTAAAAAATTTTCCTTTAAAAATCCAAGTTGATCCTTTGAAAAATTTTCCTCTAAAAAATCCAGGTTGGTCTTTCGAAAATTTTTGTTTAAAAAAACTTAGTTGGTACTTTGAAAAATTTTCTTTAAAAAATCCACATTGGTCCTTTGAAAAATGTTCATCAAAAAATCTAAGTAGATCCTTTGAAAAAATTCCTTAAAATAATACACGTTTTTCCTTTGAAATTTTTTTCAGAAAAAAAATCCAAGTTGGTCCTTTAAACACTTCTCTTAAAAAAATCCTCTGAATATCCTTTCAATAATATTCTCAAAAAAATCCACTTAGATGGCTCTGAAGGTCCTTAGAAAAATATTCTTAAAAATCCTCAGAGTATCCTATTAAAAATATTCTTAAAAAAATCCAAGTTGATGGCTCTAAAGGTCCTTAAAAAATTAATTTTAAAAATCATCTAGAAGTCCTTTGAATAATATTCTTAAAATCCACACTAAATGCTCTGAAGGTCCCTTGAAAAATATAATAAAAAATCCTCTAAATGTCCTTTCAAATAATGTTCTCACAAAATTCACGTAGATGGCTCTGAAGGCCCTTTGACATATTGTTAACAAATGTAAGTTGGTCCTATGAATAGGACCATATTCTTAAAAAATCCTCTAAATGTCCTTTCAATAATATTCTCAAAAAATCCACTTTGAAGACTTGGAAAAGTGCTCTTATAAAATCTTCTAAATGTCCTTTGAATAATATTCTTAAAAAATCTACTTTAAATGCTCTGAAGGTCCTTTGAATAATATACTTCAAAAATCCCCTAAATTTCCTTTGAATACTGTTCGTAAAAAATTACATTGATGGCACTGAAACTCCTTTGAAAAACATTCTTAAAAAATCAAAATGTCCTTTCAATAATAACTTCAAAAAATCCACGTAGATGGCTCTAAAGGTCCTTTGAAAAATATTCTTAAAAAATCCTCTCAATGTCCTTTCAATAATATACTCAAGGTCCTTTAAAAAGTATTGTTATAAAATTCTCTTAATGTCTTTTAAACAATATTCTTAAAAAATCCTCTAAATGTCCTTTGAATAATCTTAAAATATCCTCGTTAATGGTTCCGAAAATATGCTTCAAAAATCCCCTAAATGTCCTTTAAATAATATTCTAAATAAATAACGATGATGGCTCTGAAGATCCTTTGAGATGTTGTTAAAAAAATCCAAGTTGGTCCTATGAAACATTTTCCAAAAAAAAAAAATTAAAACGAAAGTTCTTTGAAAAATATTTTTAAAAGATCCTTTTGATGGACCTGAAGGTTAGATGGAAAATATTCTTAAGAAATATCACGTTCTAATTTTTAAAAAATATGAGGTTGATGCTACCAAAATCCTTTGAAAAATATTCTCAAAAAATGCAAGTCAGTCCTTTCAAAAATATTCTAAAAAATCCATATTGCTGGCCAGAAGGGCCCTTGCAAAATATTCTTAAAAAATCTCTCGTTGTTGGTCCTGAAGATCATTAATTTATTATTCTTAAAAAATCCGATTTGATGGGGCTGAAGGTCCTTTGAAAAATACTCTTAAAAAATCAGTGTTTATGGGTCTGAAGGTCCTTTAAAAATATTCTTAAAAAAATCCGTGTTGTTTCTTTGAAAAATATTCACAAAAAATCTATTTTGGTCCTTCAAAAAAAAAAAAAAAAAAAAAAAAAAGAATACGATACAAGGACCCACTTCAATTTTTTAAAGATTTTGTTTTTAAATATTTTTTAAATTAATAAAATTTTTTGGAAATAATATTTTTGGCCTCCTGTCTTTTAAAAAAATATTTTTCAAAAAATTTGTAAAAAAGATAATTTTTAAACAATTTCAGTTAATCAATTCAAAATTAATTATCCGATTTCTTTTTTCTTTTCAGGCCCTCGATTACGACTGTGAAGTGCAGGAGCAACAGGACATACCGCAGGCCATTCAACTGCTGGGCGAAATGAACAGCAACGTCAAACAGGTAACCGATTTGGTTGAGGGCATGCTACAGCGTGTCAAACGCGGTGAACTTACAACAGAATATGGCCTCAGTTTCCTGGAAGTCAAATATCACATGCTGCTCGATTATCTGATCAATTTGACCTATGTTGTGTTGCGTAAATGTTCCGGCGAAACCATTGAAGGTGATCCCTCAATAGAACGTTTGATTGAAATACGTACAGTTCTGGAAAAAATACGACCCATCGACTACAAGCTGAGATATCAAATCGATAAACTGGTGAAAACGGCCACGACGGGCGTGTCATCGACCACAGATCCAATTTTGTATAAGGTAAGGGCAGAGACTCTTTTTGAAAGTTTTGAAATCAAAATAATCCAATTTCTTTTGCATTTCAGCCAAATCCTGAAAATATGTTAACTAATGCCAATGGCGATGATGAGGATGAAGACGATGAGGATGATGATGACAGTGCTTCCGAGTCCGAAGAAGATGCCGACGATGATGTCAATGGCGTTAAGAAACCCAAAAAGGGTGCCACCGCAGGCAAACCTGGTATTTATGTGCCACCCAAAATCAAACCTGTCTACTATGATGGTGATGAAAAACCAGAGGATAAGGAGAAGAAATTGTTGGAAAGAGCCAAGAAACGGGCCATCACGTAAGCTCTAGCTTTCGATTTCATTTCACAATACTAATTGTATGTTTCATTTCAGTTCATCAATGATGGAAGACCTGAAGGAGGAATATTTGGATGCCCCCACGGAAATTTCATCCGGCTCTCGTGCCCAACAGATATTGTCCCGAGCCCAAAAGGAGAAACAAGAATACGAAGAAGCCTATCTGACACGTCTGCCGGTGACCAAAGCTGAAAAGCATCGTAACAGGAAACTAACAACATTGGGTATGAGCAAAAAAGGATCTTAAGCAAATATTTGTGAAAAAAAAAAATTATTTGAGGAACTGATTTTTTAATTGAGGAGCTGATGGGTTCTAAAAATTTTTGTAAAAAAATCCACGTTTATAGGGCTGATAGGTAGTATAAAAATACTTGAAAAACGAAAAGGAAAAATATTAAAAAAATTACACTTAGGGAGCTGATAGCCATTAGAAAAAAAATTTAAAAATAAATCCACGCTAAGGGTGTTGATAGGTCCTATAAAAGAGATTATCTTAAAGAAATGTTTGTAAAAAAGCCAAGTTTGGGAAGCTGATAGTCATATTAATATTTGTAAAAAGTTTAGGATTAAAAGACTGATAGTTCCTATAAAATTATATTTAAAAAAATTCACATTTGAAGAACGTATACGTCCTGTAAAAATATTTAAAAAAAATAAGAAGGCGAAAGGTCTTACAAAAATATTTTTAAAAAATCGCAAATAGGGAGCTGTTTGGCATTGAAAAAAAATAAAAATAAATCCACGTTAACAGTGTTGATAGGTTCTATAAAAGAGATTATCTTAAAGAAATATTTGTATTCTTGGGAATCTGATAAGTCCTATTAAAATTTGTTAAAAAAAAATCAGGCTTAGAGGACTGATAAGTCCTAAAAAAGTATATTTGAAAAGTCCACATTTGAAGAGCTGATAGGCATTCTAAAAATATTAAAAAAAAAACAATTTCAGGCAGGCGAATGATCTTACAAAAATGTTAATAAAATATATCCACGTTAAAGTTGCTAGGTCCTATAAAGATACTTCAAAGAAATCATTGTTTAGGGAGCTGAATATTAAAAATAATTTAAAAAAATCTGTGTTAAAAAAGCTGAAAGGTCCTTTTAAATATTCAAAAAAATCGCCTTTAGTTGGCTGATAAGTTCTATTAAAATATTTTTAAAGAATCCACGTTCAAAGAGCTGGTACGTCCTATAAAAATATCTTCGAAAAATTCATGTTTAGGGAGCTGTTAGATATTTAAAAAAATCCAGATTTCGGCAGCTGATAGTTCCCATAAGGGTACTTTTAAAAAATCCATACAAAGAGCTGGTATAAAAATGTTTTTTGAAAGTTCGGGTTTGGGGCGCTGATAGATATTTAGAATAAAATCCACGTTTTGGGAGTTAATAAGTCCTAAAAAGGTATTTTTAAGAAATCCACATTCAAGGAGCTGGTAGTTCCTGTAAAAATATCTTTGGAAAGTTCAGGTTTAGGGAGCTGATAGGTATTTAGAAAAATTCACATTTTGGTAGCTGATAAGTTCTATAAAGGTATTTAAAAAATCCTCGTTTTGGAAGTTGATAAGTTGTATAAAGGTATTTATAAAAAAATCCACGTTTACGGAGCATTTAGGACCTATAAAATTATCATTTGAAAGTTCAGGTATAGGGAGCTTTTAGAAAATGTTTTTAAATCTTTTAGATGGCTGATAGTTTCTATGAAAATATTTTTAAATAATCCAACTTTAAGGAGCTGGTAGATTCCATAAAAATATATTTTGAAAGTTCAGGTTTAGGGGGCTGTTAGATATTTTAAAAAATGCACATTTTAGCAGCTGATAATTCCTATAAGGGTATTTAAAAAAAGGCCATCCAAAGAACTGGTAGGTCCTATAAAAATATTTTTTAAGACTCAGGCTTAGGGGGCTGATAGATATTTAAAAAAAATTAACGTTTTGGTAGCTGATAAGACCTATAAAGGTATTTTTAAAAAAAAATCCACGTTTCAAGAAATACATGTTTAGAAATTAAAAGATTTCAGGGAGTTGAATGTTGAAAAAAATTAAGAAGTTTTAGAAGTTGATATGTCCTATTACTATCTTTTTAAGAAATCCACGTTTTAGAAGTTGGTATGTGCTATAAATATCCTCCTAAAAAATCCACGTTTTGGAAGTTGATAACTCCTATAAAAATCCTTTTAAAACATCCACGTTTTTGAAGCCGATGTGTCCTATTAATACCCATTTGAAACATCCACGTTTTAGGAGCTGATATGTTCTATAAATATCCTTTTAAAAAATCCACGTTGTAGGAGCTGATATGTCCTACAGATACCCTTTTGAATCCACGTCCTATAACAATCTTTTTAAAAAATACACATTTTGGAAACTAAAAGGTCCTTTAAAGCCCTTTTGAAAATAATCATGTTTAGGAAGATGATAGGTTCTTTAAAAATATTTTTTAAATAATCCAAGTTTAGGAAGATGATAGGCCTACCTTGGTCTTCAAAATTCACGTTAAAGGAGCTGATATTTCAAGGAATAAAATCCACATTTAAGGAGTTGATATGTCATGGAATTATTTCTCAAAAACCCCCAAGTTTAACGGGCCAATAGATCATGGAACAAATATCCTTAACAATCCAACTTTATGGAGCCTACAGATCATGAATTAAAATTCCTTAAAGAACCAAGTTTAAGATATTAATAGGTCAAGTATTTAATTGTTTTACAATTTCACGTTTGTGGAACTGGTTGGTCATAGAACAAAACTGCTTAAAATTCATTTTTGAGGAGTTGATATGTCAAGTAATAAAATTTCTTACAAATCCACATTTAAGGTCCCAAGTTTAATGGGTTGATTTTGATCAAGTATGAAAATGCTTAACAATTCCACGTTTGTGAACCATGAATTAAAATGCTTTTAACATTTACTTCTAAGGTTGCAGAATAAAATGCATTAAAAATACAAATGTGAAGAGCTTACAGGTCGTGGTAAAACAACACAGTTCAAATCCATTTTAGAGGGCCAACATGTTTTGAAATAAAATGCTTTTAAAATCCAGGTTTAAGAATCTTATAGGTTATTAAATAAAATTCCTTAAAAATCTACTTTTGTGGAGCTGATAGGTCATGCATTAAATTTTCATAAAATATCTCTTTTAAGGTCTCTACAATTCCACTTCTAAGGACTTTTTTTGTCATGGAAGAAAATTGGGAATGGAATAAAATTCTTCTGATAGGTCATAAAATAAAATCCACCTCCAAAAAGGTTATAGGATCAAATGCTGTAAAGGACGGGTTTGAGGGGTTGATAGGCCAAGAAATAAAATGCATTACAAAGTCACTTGTGAGGAGCTGATAGGTCATAAAATAAAATTCCTTCAAAATCCACGTTTATAGGATTAATTTAATTAGGTTCAGATAGGTCATAGAATAAAAAGTTTTAAAAAATACGTTTGAGGAACTGATAGACTATAAAATTAAATTCCTTTGAAATTGATGATGAGATTCCGGGCCGAACTTTGAATATCCTAAACCATTTGGAACAAATTTGGAAGTTTCCAAAAAAATAAAATCCGTTAAAAATTCTGTTAAATTCTTTAAAATACCTAATATAGCCGTTATATTGGGGTCTAAACGAAGACGTGGACCTGCATAGACAACGTTTGTCATAAGCCAATAAAATTTTTAAATGAGAAACTTTAAAAAAATAATGTCGCTAAAAACATCAAAATACCGAATATTGGGAGGCACTTTTATAGGGAGGCTATATGAAGACATGGGCTTACATACGCAATTTGTTGTCATATATCCATTACAAATTCTAAATACGAAATTTGAAACAACTCCGGTAAATAATGTCCCTAAAATCGTCAAAATATGGAATATCAAGGGGTGTCGTTATATGAGGGCTATACGATATCGTGGACCGATATAACCCATCTTCGAACTTTGTCTGCCTGCAGACAAAAGATCGATATGTGCAAAATGTTAGCTTCTTATCTTTATTTTTGTTTTGACTCTAGCGTGATTAAAACAGACGGACGGACGGACATATTCGATTCAAAATCGATCAAAATATGTTTAATAATTTTTTCTTTAATATTAAATTTTCTCCCTTTTAATTCCAGGCACCCTGGGCGATGAAATCCTCGGTGAAATAAGTCGTGATGCAGCTCTACGCGGTGATTCGCTTGGTGGCAAAAAACGAAAAGCCAAGGGCGGTAAAGGCAAAAAGAAAGGTGGCAAAAAACGTAAATTCCATTAAATAGCAGACAATTGAAAAGAAACAAAAAAACCCACAAAAACTGAAAACAAGAAATGGACCCGCAAATCAACAAAAAAATTAAAGATTATAGAATTATTAAAAAAAAAACTAAAAACAAGAACAATGTAATTAATTATAAAACAAAACACCCCTCTTACAACAAGTAACAGATGAAAAAAATGAAGACGTCATTAAATTTATAAAAAAAGTAAACAATTTTTTATAAATTACAAAAATTCCAGTTTTTACATGAGAAAGAAATAATGAAATATTAATTGAAATAAGAATTGAAAATGAATTATTAATTATTAATTTAGAAAAGAAAAAACTACAGCAATATAAGGAATGAAGTGAATGGAAACATAGAATGAAATATGTGAAAAAATAAAAAAAAGAATTGAAAATTGTAACAACAACTATAAAAGGAAAAATAGTAAACATTATTTTTTATGTTTTAATTTTCAAATTAATAACAGGAAACGGATTTTTTTTTAATTTGGAGCATAATTTTAAAAATCCATTATTGTAATAAAATTATACAGAAAAACAAATTTCATTTTTAGTTGAAGTAATTTCTAACATAATCTTCCAATTTTTTTTTACTTAAAAATAAATAAATTAAAAATAAAATGAAAAGGTAAAATAAATTTGAAATTCTCTTTTATTTTGCCATTTTTTTTTCCTTCATAAAAACCATGAGCAATAAATTCTATTTTTATATTTAAACATGCTGTTATTTTCAGTTTTTTTACATGAGGTTTCGTTATTCTTTTATAAAATGTTTGCTTATTTTTTACAAAAAAAAAAAAATCAAAACTATATTTGTTTTTTTTGATTTTTTATATTTTTTTCAACGTAAAATAAGTTTATTTAGGATCAAAATTGTGTTTGTTCTATTTGGGTTTCAATTTATTTTTCTATTATTATAATAACATATGTTTAATTAAATATTTTTTTTTCAACGAAAATTTGTTAATTTTTCATAAAATGTTTTTACATAAAGTTATGTAATTTTTTTTTTTTTTTTGAAATATGAATTCAGTTCTTGTTTAATTTTAAATTTTACAATATATTATAAAAAATATGTATGTTTCATTTCAATATTGTGTTAAATATTTTTTTTAATTTTCAATAAAGGTAAAATTAGTTAATTTTTTTATAAAATGTTTTAATTTTTTTTTTAAATATATATTCTTGTTTTAATTTTTTTTGAATATGGATTTATTTTTTTAGTACTAAAAAAATGTATTTTAAATTTAAATATTAAATATTTTCGTTCTCTTTGAATTTCTGTTTAATTTTTAATATATATATTAAAAAAATGTATGTTTCATTTGTATATTTTTTCAACTATTTTTTTATTTCAATAAAGTACTTCTAAAAATAACTCTTTTCCTCAATTTTGTTTTATTTTACTTCTATTTTTTTTTGTTCTTGTTTTTAGCAATATGATTCTAGTTTTTAAAATTATATTTTTTCAGTAGATTTAAATTTTTTTATCTGTATTTTTTTAAATTTTTATATTTTATTGAATCTATAAAAAATATATTATATCCATATTAAAGCCTTATAAATAAATAAACATGTAAACTGCATTACAGTTTCGGCAGCAAAATATGAAGAAAAAAAATTAAAAATACTTATTAATTTTTTTATTAAAAAAAAATATTTTTTTAACATTTTTGTAATTAAGTTGTTTAAACATATTTTTATGTAAAACAATAAAATCTTATTTTTACAGGATAAATTAAAAAACAAATAGTAAAAAAATAGAATTAGTGATGTTTTTTTGGTTATAAAAAATTTTTGTTGACATTTTTTTAAATATAATTGTTTTAAACGCATTTTTACGTAAAAATATAATTTTCATTTTTACAGCATTTTCTTATTTATTTTTTTAAATATATTTATTTGTTTAATTGTTTTATTAATATTTTAAAACATAGTACTTGTATAATACTAAATTAAAAAACAAATACTAAAAAAACCTAACTTAATTAAAAAATACTTATTGACTTTTTTTGTTTTACAAAATATTTTTTTTTATCATTTGTAAAAACATAATTCTTCTTTTTACAAAATTTTCTTAATTTTTTAAATATATTTTCTATAATATATATTCTTTTATGTTTTTTTTTTTTTTGTTTAATTTTTAATAATAATAATACATAATACGTATATAATGCTAAAAAATATATAATTATTTATTTTTTTGGTTTTAAAAAATATTTTTTAATCATTTTTTAGATATATTTTATTCAAACCTATTTTTAAGTAAAACTTATTTTTACAGGATTTTATTAAGAAATTTTTAAAAATAATTTTATTTAAACATATTTTTAGGTAAAACACAATTCTTATGTTTCTTATGTGTTTAAAATATATTTTTCATAATTTATATTTTTTTATAATTAAAAAACAAATACTAATTGAATTGAAGAATTAATAATATAATTATTTATTTATTTATTTATTATTATATATATATATATATATGTATATATATATATATATATATATATATATATATATATATATATATATATATATATATATATATATATATATATATATATATATATATATATATATATTGTTTTATAAAATATTTTTTTAATTATTTTTTTGTATATAATTTATTCAAACCTGTTTAATGTAAAACATAATTCTTATTGTTACAAGATTTTTTTAAAAAAATATTTTTTTCTGTTAATTTTTTTTTTTTGGTTTTAAAAATATTTTTTAATCATTTTTTTAAATATAATTTACTCAAACCTATTTTTATGTAAAACATAATTCTTATTTTTACAGCATTTTATTAAAAAAATATATTTTTTCTGTTAATTTTTTGTTTTTTTTTTTTTTAAATAATATTTAATTTTTTTTTGATATATTTTTTGAAACACACACTAAAAATTACATATTGTTTTAACTAATAATATTTTTGGTTAAATTTTTTTTTAATAATATATAATTTTTTGGTTATAAACACTAAAAATTACATAATTTTTTAACTAAAAAATATTTTTTTGTTTATTTTTTTTTAATATATAATTTCTTGTAAATATATTTTCTTGAGTCCCACCCAAAAAATTTCATATTTTTTAACAAAAAAATCTTTTTTTTTTTTGTTATTTATTTATTTATTTTTTTTTTTTTTTTTTGTGAAATAATATATATAAATTAAAAAAATTATATTATTTTTTAACTATAAAATATTTTTTTGTTTATTTATTTATCTATGTTTTTTAAATAATATTTAATTTTTTGTTAATATATTTTTTTCGAAGCCCACACTAAAAATTACATGTTTTTTAACTAAAAAATATATATTTTTTTGATTTTATTTATTTATTTATATCTTTATTTTATTTATTTATTTATTTATTTATTTATTTTTTTTTTTTTTTTTTTTGAAAAAACGTTTAATTTTTTGTTAATAAATAAATTTTTTTCACTAAAATTTATATAATTTTTTAACTAAAAAATATATGTTTTTTTATTATTGTTATTTTTGAAATAATACTTTATTGTGTGTTAATATATTTTTTTAAAGGCAAACGATAATAATTACATAATTTTTAAACTAAAAATTTGTTTTTATATTCAATAAAATAATAACTTTGTCTGGTTACTTTTCCCGCAGTAATTGTCCAGCAGCTTATTTCTGAGAGAGTAAAGTTTGTTTTGTTCTCCTTGCAAAAGAACGGTGAAATGTAAACAGACTAAATTCATGCAAAAACTTGCCAGCAATCAGCTAATTTGCCAAAACGAAACAATTTGTCCGGCATACGAGGAAATGAAGCATGCAAAAAAAAAAAATAAAAACTTTTCCAAAATAAATAATTTCCAAAATAAAAATGTTTTAAAATTTGCTTGCCCAAATAAATATAAATCACCAGATGGATAAGAATTCTTGTCCAGCAAGAATTTGCAAACTCTCATTGTGAAAGAATAGTAATCTCTCTCGAACTGCTCTCTTGCAGAGCTTAAACATTAGCAACAATTCTTGCAAATGTAAGGGTAACCAGACACAGCTCACATTTCTTTATTTTTAATTTTTTTTCTTATTTTTTTTTAAATTTTCAAAACTGAAATTGAAATCCACCAGACTTGTAAATTATTAAACATATTTCGAAATACAATCTAAAAAAAGAATGTAAAAACTAAACCTTAAATATTATGTTGTTTTTAGGAGACAAAAATTATCAAAAAAAAAATAAAATTAATTCAAAAAAAAAAAAACTTTTGGCAGCAAAAAAAAAAAAAAGATTAAAACAAACACGACATACAAAAATCAAATGCAGGTTACAAAACCCGACAAAAAAACAAGAACAAAATAAACCAAACGAAAATATGCAAAATATTTAAAATCAATAGAAGAAGAAGAAACCAAAGAACAGCTACAACAACAACAACAAGAAATAGAATACAAATTGAAAAGTTGAAAATAAAGCACAAAGTAAAATTTACAAAATTTATCACAAAACAAAAACCAAACAAAGGAATGCAAGAAGAGAACGACAAACCTAAAGCAAAAGTGATCCACACAGACGACAAAAAGACGAACAAATTTTGAAATCATGAAACCAAACACACTCATACACACATACATACATACACACTGACACAAGCAAACCAGTAACTATACAAAACAAAAAATGGAAATAAAATTGCAGTTGCCTTATTATACAAAAAATAAAAAATAAATAAATGAAATAAAATAAAATACAAACAAAACAAGTTTGAAACAGAAAACTTTAACAAATTAAAAATAAAATATAGCAAAGCAAATGGAAAATATATCAACTTGAAACCACAAACCAAAAAAAAAAAACAATTTTTAATGAAAAGCGAAACCAAAAAGAAAACTAATATTTTTTAAAAAAATAACCAAACCGTTATGCAAGGGCATGCGAGGCAGAAAGTGAAAAGTTTTTTGAGCTAAGGGGGGGAAACTTAATTATATACTTATATATAAAGGGTGAGATAAAAAAAACTGCAATAATTTTAACAGCTGTCGAACGAGT